CATTTTATTACACAGCCCGTTCCAACATTCGGCGTCTCCGGCGTGTCGGTATGGGCCGCCTTGGTGTTCGAGATCGTGATGACATTCGGTCTCGTCTACACCGTGTACGCCACCGCCGTTGACCCCAAGAAGGGAGAAATCGGAATCATTGCACCCATCGCCATCGGTTTCATCGTCGGAGCTAACATTCTCGCCGGAGGTGCCTTCACCGGAGCATCCATGAACCCCGCCGTGTCTTTCGGACCCGCTTTGGTGAGCTTCAGCTGGGCCAACCACTGGATTTACTGGGCCGGACCTCTCATCGGAGGTGGCCTCGCCGGAGTTATCTACGAGATCTTCTTCATCAGCCACACCCACGAGCCCTTGTCGGAATTCTAAGAATATTCCGGCTGAAAAATATCTGCGTTTTTTTTCTTCTTTGATTTCACCCTCCGTTTGTGCTTGTTGTAATTTCTTGATGAGGAGTTTTAATTTTTAATTTGGTTATTTCCTCTTTGAATTTGTTTGGACGTTGAATTTCAAATGTAATTTCTGTATTTTTAATTTGCACGCCCTTATGTTTATTCTTTCTGGGGTCAATAATTTAATTTGTATTTATCTCTTTCTTTTGCCCTTTGAAATCATTTATAATTTCTTTTTTAAAATTATTGGATTTTAATTGATACTTAAAAAAATAATTTAATTAGTGCTTTATTTTAAATTTTCAATAAAATCCGGACTGAATTTGATATTCTTAAATTTAATTATTTCTCCAAAATATTGGTAGTGTTTACTCGAGATTATTTTGAAAGACAGGCTCAATTATTAAACTTGCACAGAATAAAAATTAAAGATTAGTTTAAACATTAGGATTACATGCACTTCACCCTTAATAAATTTTTCATTTTCTCACTTTTCCCCCTAAAAGTTCAAAAAATGGATAACCACCCCTTGAAATATTGTTTTTGTTGCACTTTGCCCCAAAAATCAATATTTGGTAGGCATTGTGCAACAATAATAACATTTTGAATGAGTAACGTGCAGAAAAATAATATTTTTAAGACCAAAAATATATTTAAAGAGGCAACGTGCGACAAGAACATTCAATTTTGGTGAATAATTCATCGGAATTTTTTTATCAGGCGCAATGTGCAACAAGAATAACATTTTAAAAGGGACATTCACTTTTTCAAAATTTTAAGGGGGTAAAGTGCGATAATTAAATATTTATAGATGGTGATGTGCAATTTGCCTAAAACATAATTAGATAACAATGATTGTGGACCAAATGACAACGACACACTTGTCGAGTTTCGATGATATCACTCTCTTAATCCAAAATTAAGTTAAGGGGTTTGGTAATAATAATTTAGATTAACAATTTCTTATTTTTGTTTTTATTTAAGTAAAAATAATTGCATTATACTTTTTTTTTTTTGATAATTAATTGCATTATACTAAAAGATGATACAAGTTTTGTTTTATTATTTAACAAATAATGGATACTAACTACCAATTGCGGAAAAACAACAAAAGTTAGGCTCTATTATTGGCCCAATTAATTCCCATTTTATTTTTTATTTTTTTTACCAACTACTTTTTTTTCCAATTGCATGTGACGTCAAATCAAAGCTGCCCTATAACACTTGAACATAGTAAATTGGCTATATTTTTCTTTTCCTTTTTTGCCCTTCAAATTATGGATTTGGTTACTTCCTACTAAGTTATATATAGTTTGTGGAAATTTCAATATTACCAACTCCAAAATCATTCTTTCGATAAATTAATACTCGATAAATGAATAACATTGTTCAAATAATATTTTTTACGGTTTGGACTCTGTAAAAACGTACTAAAATTTTCGCTCGATAATTTAATAATTCACTAAATTAATAGAATTTTTTCGGTCCCGACTGTATTAATTTATAGAGGTTTAACTGTAGTTATTTAATTTACTAATCAAACCCGTAGTTACGGAGAAAATGAACTCTTATTTAAGTTTTTTGATGAATCATTTATTCAACTTTCTCTAATCTAAAATAAATGCCTCATTCGGTTGCATGGATTGAAGTTATATTGATTTGTACTCTTTAAGTGCATGAATTGACCTAGGTTCGAATCTACATGTCAACGGTCCCTTGATGAGTTTTGTCATACATGGTCAAATTAGTGCGGTTTACACCACTCGTATAAATTGTAAGCTACTACACGAAAATATAGATTTATCTACTGCAAATATATAACCAGCTGCATGTTCGTTCGTTAGAAGAAAAAAAAACATAAGCATATGGTTGAATAACTTTCAACTATTTATATTTTTGTTTTTCTATATAGATCACTGTATCTTGATCGAGACATTTCCTTGTCTACCTACATATTTGAAATTTTAAAATTTTGAATATAATACGAAAAATTTGAATGATTTAGAAGCTAGAAAATAATCAAATACAACACACACACACACACACATATATATATATATATATATATATAATTTCCAAACATTAATAGAATTGGAGACATCCATCGTGTCATCAAAATTATCTGGCATTTTGGTCTTATCCACTTGGCGACAATAATTAATTAATGGATATTGTTGTATTTAATTAAAACTTACTTGATTCATTTTTTTAAGATGAATCCAAATTAATCGAATTATTTGCTAAACTCGGTAAAATATTTTATCAAGTCAAGATATACATGTTAATACAAGAATATATACGTATTTTTTGTGTAAGCGAATATGATGATCGATATGGTCTACATTCTTACACTTCGTTCATTACAAAAAAAAAATATAGAATAAATTATTAAAAATGTTCGTATTTTAGATTTTAATTAGTTCACGAAGTTTAAGGGTATTTGTTTTTTGTATATAAATATAAAAAAATTATAAATGCATATATACTCTTAATTCTTAAAAGTTTAAATTTGAAACAATTGTTAGAAGGAAAAGATTAGTAGGTGTCAATAATATCTTGGATTACTAAATTAATGTGCAATTTAGCAAAAAAAAAACAATAATAATTATAAAATTGGAATCACATAAAAAGGACACGGGCTTTTGTGTTTCACATGGTGTGGGGCCATATTGTAATTTCTAATAGACGAAAATAAAAAAACATAAATGTACCTTTCCACTCTGTCTTAATTGTCTTAAAGTCGGTTAGGTCGGCAATGCCTGAAAGGGATTTTTATTTTGGCCCATCCAATTTTTTTTTGCGTAAATTACTGATACACCCTTCAAGTAATTAAAACTAGGGTCAATTATAATCAACTTCGAGGTATGGTCAAATTACGAAAACCCCCTATTGTTGGATAATTACATCTACTTCCCTCAATTATGAATCTTCTCAGACCTCAACCCTTGTAGTGTCAAATTCAACATAATCATCTAGATTCCGTGGAATGTGCTCTAGTTTGTACTCGTTTTGTGTAAAAATACTGTTTTTGATGCACCACAATCTGATTGATATATACAAGCCAAAAAATACTTCTTATGATCATCTTGCTTCAAAATGTGGAGCTCGAATGGGATAAAACAGGAACAAAATTGAAATATATTCCATATAATCAAGAAGTTTCCACTAAATTTGAAACCGCAAGAGGAGACATGTAAAAAAAATTATAGTTGAAGTAGTTTGTTGTAATTAATCAAACGGGAGGGGGGTTTTGTAATTTTAACATAATTCAGGAGGTGTTTTAATTTGCCCATAAAACTAAATAAATTACGAACTCCGTGGTGTACGTAATGACAAATAATCCCCTAAAACTAACAACCCGTTGCAACACTTAACTCAAACAAATAACTATAAGTATATTACGCGTAGCCCCTTGAAGTAAGATAAAATATTATATTTACCCCTAGGTAGATTTAAATAAGTGGTATTGAAGTCTCTTCCTAGTCATAATTAATGTGATTTGATGAGAGATCGTGGGCTCGAATTTTATGATTGTGTATACAATTTAGGATTTAATCAAATAATTAATGAGGTATTTAGTCAATTTATGTTATTTAGTAATTCATGGTGTGCCCAATAACATCAATCAAAATTTCACTTCAAAAAAGAAAAAGAAAAACATTAATCAAAACTTGTAGGCCACATGGGCCAACATCTGTCTATATTGGGCTGGCAACTAAGGGTCCAAAATATAAAATAATTACTTTTAGGGCTCAAAATTTAAAATAATTACTACTAAGGCCCAAGTCCACTAAATCAAGTGTTTGAGATCATTATAAATAATTTTATTCATATGCTTAATTACGATAATTAATATAAAAATAAATTTATTTACGTTTGACTTATATGTTATTGTGAGAACTAAATTGAGACACATTGAGATAAAATGGTTTGTTCAATGCTACACTGAATGAACTTCACCGGGTTAAATCCCCGTATAATTATACGTAAAATATAGAGCTATACATAATTTACACACATTCCATGTATACATACATATATATACGTGTATATATAAATGTGTGTGTGTGTGTGTAAATAAAAGATGGAAAACTATCTGTATGAGATAATTAGATTATCCTACGTAATAATCAATCATGTCTGAAACTCAAATCCTTGATTAAGAAAAACAGATGCAATCCACAGCTTCATATTTCGCAAGTCTATATCCATCTCCCCATCCGCAATCTGCGTATAATTTTCATATGTTAATTATTTAATTAATCTAGAAAAGAAAAATACGTAAATTAAATTTTATGTATGTGATAATTATATAAATCGACGAGCAAAATAATTATTTCTTACATGCAAAGTGAACGTGAGGACATAGTTTTCACCTGACGAAGCCAAATTCGAGCTCCGAACATTGAAGCTTGTTAGGGATTCGAGGGCTTTATAAATGGAAGCAGCAACACCTTTGCCTTTGTTCGACACTATTTTCACGTAAAACCCTCTTTCTTCCACTTCAAACACATCCATCTGCACTTTTTAATTTTTTTTAATTATAATTATATTATTTAGTAATAGAAGTCGGACGAGTAAATTGATGAAACCCTAATTATTAGTACTAATTAATTACCTTAAAAATTTTCTTGGTTATGGGATAGAAATTTGTCATATAATTATTCATGTTTTGGGCAACTTCTTGATGCTTGTCTCTTCCTTCCAACGATGACTCGAGACTGAAAATCTCGGATTTGAGCTTCTTCGCCTGCGTTTGCAAGTTTTGCACGTACGAAATAGCGTCCCCAACTATCGAAGCTTTATCCATCTGCATATACATATATACACACACATGAATCTCTAGTTACTACAGTATATATAGTAAATCTAATATAAATGCATTTGAACCTAACCCTAGTTTTGATATTATTAATGAAAAATATATATGATGAACCCTAATTTTTTTGTTTTCACATTTTTCATTATTGTTGCAGCACCTATATTTATATACCACAACACGACACGATTAAAATATATTGAATTATTAGTATGTAAAGTGTACGTACGCGTGTACGTACTATTTGAAGCTCTAAATGTAAATATATTTGTACGTAAATATAACTAATATATATAGATGAGGTGATATATTAAGTCCTAATTTCGATACAATTAATGAAAATTAAAAATATAACGATGATATGAAACCCTAAATCTAACCTTGGTGATATTCGGAACCAATGAGCGCAGCGTATAGAGCGTGTCCTTCATTCGGCTTCTTCTCTTCTGCTCGGAAACCAAAGTTCTTGATCGATCCACCTTATTACCGGCATTCTTCTTTGTCGGTGTAGTACTTGTCGTGGTGGTGGTTGTGGCGGCAATGGCTGAGCATTCCTCCTCCTCCTCCTCCTCCTCTTCCTCCTGGTCGTCCGCCACCGGCTTTTGGCCGCATGCATTCTGTAAACCAAAATCACGGTAAACATTACTACCACCAGCAACGTGTTGGAAGTCGAACAAATCTACTGGCGGAGCAGTCGGGAAAAGATCGCTGATGTTCCAGACGACACCACCACCACCATAGCCGCTACCGCTTCCACCACCACCACCACCGTAGCCGTTACCGTTTCCGCCACCAATGCCAGGCTGATCGAAAAACTGATGATTGTAGTCTTGACTGAAACTGAAATTAGGTTGTTGATTATTATTAATATTATTATTATTCATAAAATCGAAATTCGACTCATCCATGAAATCAATCATTCCAAAATGCTCATCATTTGCATATTGGCGATGCGGGATTATTTCATCCATTTCTTTTTTCTTTAATTTTATTTTTAATTTATTGTTTTTATTTCATGGTCGGTTTCTTGGTTTATGAGGTATTTTATTTATATATAGATTTGTCAGTGTAGTGTGAACGGAATCCAAACTGGTTTATGTTTTAATGATGTTGACTATTTAATTCATGTACATATACAAGAGGGTTGACCAAAATTGTTGCAGAAATTGAAAAGGAGACAATGTATCTAGTACTAGATCCAATTGTGCCCTACCACAAACAATTGTTGATTGGTTTGGATAGATTTAAACCATAATTAATTAATTATTAATAAATAATAATAATATAAAGAAAAATAAAATTTATTTTTATGCCCCTCAGGGAATTAATATGCCGTTTGATTCTTTTTTTACTATTGAATCGGGCTATATCTACACTATGTACACTTGATCTACTCGTTTCCTTGTCATTCAATTCACCTTCGCCACTTCTTTCCAAATTCTTTTATAATAATGTAAAAATTCATATGAAAATTCAAAATAAATAAATTAAATTATCACTATACAAACTCATATTATTAAGTGTAAATATTTTGTTATTTTTTCTTTGTCACTATATTGAATTAGTGGCATAACTATATTGTGACAGCGACAAAATATTATGAATTAAAATTTCAAAACCGGGGATCGTTATTACTAAGGTTTGGTCGTATATAACGTAAGCAACCCCGTTTATGGACCTATAGCGAAAACCTATTTTGACGTTGTCGGAATCAGTCAACATGTTTTCTAAGGCTGTTGTGACGAGCTTCCGACCTACATATTTAAACACGGAATCGAAAATGAAATGTAAATCTTGACGATGAAAATTTTAATTTCCTGGTCCTTGAATTCGCACATCCAGTTGGTAAACCGACCGAACCGAACCGAACCGAATGAAAATTCGGTACTTGCCGATTAATGAACCAGTAATTCAGTGCGATATTCAATTTTTTATTTTTTTATATATGTATATATTTATATGAAATATTAGTATTTAAACTAATATTAATTTAAAATATAATAATTTTAAAAAAATATTTTTAATAAAATTTCAATACTTCGGTTATTTACCGAACCGTACGATAAACGTTATGAAAATTTGGCGTACCGAAATTTCGGTACTATATTACCGAGTGAACACCTCTAAATTTAGCAACTGGAAGGGTTTTTCGTGTGACGATACGTAGTTGAGAGAGATAACTGTAATTATACAAACAATTTGAATTTTCTTTTCGTAATTTAACCTTATCTCAGGCGTGATTTAAATTCACTTTATTATTAAGGAGTTGTTAACTAAAATTCTCTATATATACCTAATTTATTTTAATTTAATATGTATAAGTCTCTCATTGACTTAATTAATGGTATTGTATTTCTATTTAGATCTCCAACTCTCATTACAATTTCCATGCAATTCTCTCTATTTAATTTGTAATGTACAAGTTTTATAAGTCCGAATCGAATATAGATTACAATTTACAGGTTGTTAGGTATTCTAGTCGTTGACTTCCCTATCCATCCCAGGTTTTGTAAGTCAAACTTCTGATGTTGATTTGTTTATTAATTTTGTTTAGCACTATTACACATCAATGTGAAACTAGAAAGATACTCGCATTAAAATAAAATAAATAATAGAATATATTGATAAATAAATAAAATTAACAGCGCAGCATCAAAACATGGATTAGCTCGTCCTCGGCTATGGCTATAAAATATTATCTATATATTGATTATTATAATTCGTTAAATTTAAAAAAGAAAAAGAAAAATGAACATAAGGCTGGGATCAATTAGTTCTGGATTACAAACGTCGACAGAAAGTTGTTATCGGATTAAGAAAAGTGAGGGATGATATTGAATGTGATATTGTCGACTTCAACAGCAAATAAAAGAAAATTGAATTAAAATTTTGTTGAGTCTTTATAAATTTATCACATATGTAATATACATATATTTGAAATTTTATTTCAAGATATAAAAAAAATGTAATTTCAAGAAATTGTTAATTTACATATAAAATGGGGCCTATAAGAATTTTTAAAATATATATTATTTTATAAATTTATTGAGTTATTAATTTAGCACGTTACCGAAAAAAAAAATTCTTTAAAAAAAATTCTTTAATTTATCGCATATTAATTTATTGATGTTTTACGTTTAATTTTAGTATAATTGTTTATATAGTAAAATGGATTAACTTTGAATTGGGCCAACTTGTGTCATTAGGTTGAGCTGAGTTGGACCTTTTGATGCAATTTAATAGGTTTGAGTATCAATTTGTATTTGTATATATATTTGTTTACATTTTGATATATTAAATTGATAATTGAAAATCAAATTAAATTTAAATAATATGTATAGAACAAAATTACAAACAGTTACTAATGTACGTGGTTGATATTATCAACGTTGTTACTTGTGATATAATGACGTGTCTCAACGGAGGAAGAGTGCTGTTGATCGATCAGCGCCGGCAGAAACTCGACTTCTGCTTCGAACGGCGGCGGCGATGCTTTCGTCGGAGTCGGAGGAGGAAACTCCGATTCTTTTTTCTCTCTTTTTTTAATGTGTGTTTGTGGAGGTTGAAAAGGTTGGACTAAAGACATAAGAAGCCAAAAGATTAGGGACTAGACTGTAAAACCTGAAAAGACTGTGCAAACGTAAAACATGAATAAACAGGATTTGATGTGTTTTGATTGGGCAGAGAATTACAGTATCAGCGCCAGACGCGGGAGTTAAGACAACTCCCATTCGCTCATGGTATTTGCATTTTGCACCCCATTTTTTGCTAACTCTTGCAAACAAGACCTTGATAATTTATTTTATTTAAATAACAAATTAGAAATAAACATTTTTTTGAGAAAAAAACAAAATTATAATATATATACCCAAGCAGCAGGGCATTCGCATGTGTGTGTTCTTGTAATAAACAATAAGTTTGGTTAGGGAAAAGACATTTTGAGTCGGATTTATGTAATTATATTTTAGTTTGGGACTGTAATAAATATTAAATAATAATAATGCTTATTTTTTAATGTTGATATTAATTTTTTACTTTTTTTTAGTAAAATGTTGATATTAATTAAAATGTTAATTTGTCCTCTTCAATGAGTTCAAAGTCCCTATCAGAAATTTAAAATAAATAAATAAATGAGTCAGCCTTTTCTCCATGTACAGTCATTTCTATCTTCGAACTGGTAGTAAGTATTCTGTCCACGTCAGATATTATTATTACATTAATTAAAAGAATTGGGAATCCCCATGTAACCTTTTTTTTTTCTTCTGATGAAAAAAAAACAGGAAAAGGAGATTAATTCCACGTCAAATTCAGCGTTTAGTTATTTACAAAAGTGCCATCGAATTAAAAAAAAAAAAAAAAAGTGATTTTTATATTTGATCTTGTTGTGCTTCCGGCCCAAATGAATTGATGGCTAGTGAGTGAAACCCATTTACTCTAATTCGAGAGAAGCTCATGTTAGTACAAGGGTTCGAAACTGATCTCGTCCGTTGAATATAGTTCGTGTGATCCTGTCCCTTTATTCTCTCATATAAATACCATTTTCTTAATATTTTTTTTTTTTTTTTTTTTTTTATGTGGAACCTAAACTTCTTTCTACGCCACTCTTTTATGTTTCCTTCATTTGCACTTATAGTGTTTAGTCATTAGTGACTCTCTGCCAATTGTGGGTCAAATCCATTGTACAAGGCTGACTTTGACCCTATGATGGTACCTTCACCGACTACTATGGATTTCAGTCCTATTTATACGAGAAGATTAGAGTGGAGGTATAAGACATAGATACATGACGTAAACCCTAAATTCTTCTTTTGCGTATTACGATTTGAGACTGTGTGCATGGGCTTGAATATGCGCTTTCCTCTTTGAATTTCTGGGTAAATTTGAGAGAGTGAGCGAGTGAGTTATGAAATTTGTTCATTTATTGTACTTTGATGGTATTAGTGGATTCCTTTGTGGAATCTCTAACGTTAGTACTATTGGATAATTGAAAGAGTGCGTTGTATTCCAAACTTTAAGATATGTTCTTATTATTTTTCTTTTGCTCTATATAACTCTTAACCTATGTAATAGTTAATATTATTAAGGCTTTTTTTTGTTATATTTTAACCTATGTATAATAATTAATATTATTAAGATTTTTTTTTTCAATTACTAAATATTTGAATAGTTGGCCAACATAATTTAAAGGCTGAAGCTACTTATTTTTAGAAAAGCAAAAGCATGTATTACAAATACTTTGGAACTGGATTTTCAACAAATAAGGCTTATTATCAATTTCCAAAAGCATTTGCAAACACCACCAATAATACTATACAACTTAACACTTAATCACTTAGTATCAAAGAAATAATGTGAATTTGTATTTTGAAGGCGGGTGTAATTCTTAATGCAATAAGTTTACATATTACAAAACGATTACTACAAAATAAATCATTAAAATTTGATCCATGATCATGGGAACTAAATTGAGATACATAAGATAAAAATGGTTTTGTTCAATGCTATACTGGATGAACTTCACCGAGTTAAATCAATTAATCCGATCATGTTAATTATACATATTTAAATAGATCCGTACATAATTTACACACATGTATGTATGTGTAATCTATTCGCGGATTAATGAGTGTAGCGCACCATGTTATAATCATGTCTGAAAAAACTCAAATCCTTGATTAAGAAAAACAGATGCAATCCACAGCTTCATATTTCGCAGGTCTATATCCATCTCCCCATCCGCAATCTGCGTATAATTTTCATATATTAATTATTTAATCTAGAAAAAAAAATACGTAAATTAAATTTTATGTATGTGATAATTATATATATCGACGAGCAAAAGAATTATTTCTTACATGCAAAGTGAAAGTGAGCACATAATTTTCACCGGACGAAGCCAAATTCGAGCTCCGAACATTGAAGCTCGTAAGGGATTCGAGGGCTTTGTAAATGGAAGCCGCAACACCTTTTTCTTTGTTCGACACTATTTTCACGTAAAACCCTCTTTCTTCGACTTGATACACATCCATCTGCATTTTTTTTTTATTTTTTTTAATTATATTAATATTAATTAGTTATAGAAATTGGACGATCGAGTAAAATATATTATATTGCATGAAACCCTAATTATTAGAATTTAATAATTAATTACCTTAAAAATCTTCTTGGTTATTATAGGATAGAAACTTGTAGTAACTTTGTTCATGTTATTAGGAGCAACTTCTCGATGATGCTTGTCCAATCTTCCTTTCAACGATGACTCGAGACCGAAAATCTCGGATTGGAGCTTCTTCGCCTGCATTTGCAAGTTTTGCACGTACGAAATTGCGTCCCCAACTATCGATGCTTTATCCATCTGCATGTATACATACATACATACATACATACATACATACATATATAGATGTACAATATAATAGATCGAGTTACTAGTATGTATGTAGTAACCCTAATTTTTATATCATAAATGAAAAATATAATTAATGATGAACCTAAATCTTTACCTTGGTGATATTCGGAACTAAGGAGCGCAATGTATATAATGTATCCTTCATTCTGCATCTTCTCGTCTGCTCTGAAACCAAGGTTCTCGATCGATCGGCCTTACCACCGCCATTCTTCTTCGTCGGTGTAGTACTTGTCGTGGTGGTGGTGGTTGTGGCGGCCGCATTGGCTGAGGATTCGTCCTCCTCCTCCTCCTCCTCTTCCCTTATTTGCCCTTGGTCGTGATCCGCCGCCTGCTTTTGGCGGCATGCGGCATTCTGTAAACCAAAATCATGATAACTACTACTATTACCACCACCACCATGTTGGAAATCGAACAAGTACTCTACTGGCGGAGCAGCCGGAAAAAGATCGTTGATATTACAGACGACACCACCACCACCACCACCACCGCCACCGCCACCGCCACCGCCAATGCTGGGCTGATCGAATTGATCATGATTGTAGTCTTGAGAACTGAAGCTGAAATTATCATGATTCATAATTTCGTTCTCCCCGCGAACTAGGTCAATAAAATGATCGAAATTCGACTCTTCCATGAAATCTATCAATCCAAAATTATCAATTTCTGAATATTGGTGAAATGGGATTATTCCAATTTCATCCATCTTTATTTATTTTTTAGCAATTTCAAGGCCCACATATAATATATATATAGGGTTTGTGGTTTTTGAGGTATCTATGTAAATAAAGATTAGTATGTGTGGTGTGAACGGAATCAAAACTGGTTTATGTTTTAATGATGTTGACTATTTAATTCATATATATACACAAGAGGGTTGACTAAAATTGGTTCAGAAACTGAAACGAGACAATGTATCTAGTGCTAGATCAGGTTTTGCCCTACCACAAACAATGGATTATGTTTTATTTATTTATTTATTGTCGATTGGTTTAATGTAAAAGAATTAATAATACAAATAAATTAAAACAAAAATATAATTTATGCCTCTGCAGGGAATATGCTCTGTGATTTGATTCTCAGTTCACTTCTTGCAATTCATGTTCTTCACCTTCATTCGGGTCACTTACAACAGGATAAGGGGAAAAAAAATAATTAGAATATTAATTAATGTAAGAAAATGTAATTATCACTACATGATCCATAGTGATATTAAATGACAATACTTTCAATATTGTAACAACTATTTCATTTCGTTATCACTGTATTCAGGTCCGTTTCTGAGAATTTGGGGGTCCTAGTCAAGATTTGAATACGGTTAAAAAAAATGGGACACTTCTACAATAAAACTCATTTCCTGAAAACGTGTTAAACTAATATGTTAGCTCGTTCTAACGAATGGCGACAATTAGGACAAAAATTTGTGATATGGTAAACTTCATTTTTTAGGGATTCTGAGGTAGCGCCGCATATAATTCAAATTCCTGAATGTTATATTTGAAATAAAATCAAATTCAGGTGGAACACTAATCAATGAATTGAGAATTTTATAGGAATATAAATAACTAACTAATACATTTTAAATTTAATAATTAGGAACTAGTAACAATCATTGATTAAATGTCTATTTAAGAATTAGAAAGAATTCATAATAATTAAAAATATATATAAATTTAATAACATAAATGCTGATATAAAGGGTATAGAAAAATAGAGAGTGCTAATTTTTTTTAAAAAAATCGATGGCCCTAAGCGACGGACTGCCTACCCTCAGAACCGGCCGCGACTATATTGAGTTAAGTGACATAAAAATAGTGCCATGAAGTTATCTTTAAGGAAGGTGTTACCTAAAAGTCTCTATCCCTTATTATTATTATTTTTAATTTCATATGTATAAGTCATTAATTCATTGACTTTAATCTTATTGTATTTCTATTTCCACCCTCATTACAATTTCCATGCAATTCTCTATTTAATTTGGTTGAATCTGCAATTTTTTAATGTGACAGTAGAAAGATACTCGCAAAAAAAAAAATTAATAATATTAATATATAATCAGCGTACTTAACAGCGCAGCATCAAAATGTATGGATTAGGACAACCCTAAATTCTCCAATTAACAATGGGTATTATTATATATTAAATTATTAATCTTATCAATTTATAATTAGTAATGCAATAATTAAATTGGTGAAAATGTGTGACACGTGGTGAGTGTGTGTGCAACTGTTGATATGGTCATCCTAGCACGTGCCTAAATCCGAAACCTCATCCATCCCACAGGCTTAGCTCGTCCTCGGCTATGGCTATATAATATTTTCTATACGTACACAATATTATTCGTATAAAATATAAAATCATGATATATTAAGTTATGTACATTCAATTAATGATATCACTAATTTAATGGTTCAATTAAATCATAATTTGAATTCCTTTTTGGGCCTTTAAGACTTAAACCTTCACATTTTTACCTAAGTGGGCCGATGTATGTAATATGGGCATTATGGCCCACATGTGCAAAGATACCTAAGTGGGCCGTTGGGGCTGATTAATCGGTCTCATAATTCAATACCTTTATGATTTTGGTGTTAATGTTTAAAAAATTGAATTTTAGCTTGTAGGAGATTTGAGGCAGTTCGAGGTGGTTAGACTTTGGAGAGGGGTCAAACTTAATTGGTCAAAAATCGGCTTTCAAAACTCGATTCCCTCTTTTTACACCCTGAATAAAAAGTCAAACTTGAGTCAATTATCATAAACTTTCTCGTACAGTCTATAAATTATTGATAGGAAATTAGAAAGTGAAGAATCTTTAGGATGGGAAAGAGAACGTGATTTGGACACATATTTCAAATTTATTGCCCTGTGGACCAATTTTGACTCTTGAATGGATGTTTCTTATTCAAAGAAATCCACTACTACATTCTTACTTATTCTATTCTTACACCAATATGGTATATGTCATAATATTCAATTATATATGTATACATATTTAATTTTTATATTATTTACAAAAACAAAGTTGAATATAATGTTGCATGTCATATAATTACAAAGATTGAAGAAAAAAAAACTATTAATTGCTCCCAAGGCAAAGAAAAAGGACTCAAAAGAAAACAAATACTAATTATGGTGAAGAAAGTGACTCCTCAACCAAAAATGCTGGCCAAGAAAATTACAAAGAAGCCTCTGATTGGTCAATCTTGGATCTTCACTTCACATTTTAAATATGGTAAATAACACTTTAACCCCTATGGTTTGACATTTGTGCACATGACCCTTTATACTTTCAATATAAGTACATTATACCACTTACAGTTTGAAGTTTGTGCACATGAACCCCTTATACAGTATACTTTTAATCTCAACACATAACTCTCTTATGGTATTCCACTTAGTAAATAATCATGCTCGTTAGAAAGAAGAAATTTTTTAAAGTACAAGGGGTTTTGTGCTTATAATAAAATACAAGGGGTCATTTGTGCTATATAGAAAGTACGAGGGGTCATGTGCACAGAGATTAATCCATAGGGGGTTAAAGTGCTATTTACCCTTCTAAATATAAAACAAAATTACACGATTTTTTTTTTCTTTTATTTAAGAAAAAGGACCTCATTGAAGAACAACTCTTTGATACTTGAATTCATTAATGAAGTAATCAGAATCAACGTTGTCGTTGCTGTTGTGTAATAGTAATGACGACGGCGGGTCTTGCCGGAGGGAGAGCGGCGGCGGCGGAATCTGATACGTGTCGAGCGGCGGCGGAGGGTGGCGCCACTGCGGAAGAGGCCCGGCGAGGAGGAGCGTCTGCAGCAGCGGCCCGGCTTTCATCACCGCCTGCAGAAGCTTGCCCTTTTCCGGCAAAGGCCTGTTTATAATCAGACCCGCCGGAAACTCGGTTTCCGCTTCGACCTGCGGCGGCGGCGATGAGACGATGCTGTCGTCGGAGTCGGAGGAGGAAACTCCTCCGATTATTCCTCGTACTGCAGGATCACCTTCTTCTTCGATAATGCTGACTGAATGTTGTTGGAGAAGAATCTTTTCGTAGAGTAATCTTCGGCAGTTATCTCGAGCTTCGTCTCGCTCTCTAATGGCGGCGGCGATCGTTTCTTTCAGATGGGAGATTTCTTGATCCTTGAGTTTGAGCTCCTCTTCCAGCACAAGTGATTGCCTTACTTCATCATCCATACTCTGTTTTTTTTTTACGATTTAAAGAAAAAAAATTAAGTTAAATTAAATAAAATGGCAAGAAATGTAATTATTGAATATTGAAGATGAAGAATTGTTTGGGACCTTTTCTTGGGGGTAAAAATGAACCCAATTAAGAAGACCTCTTTCTTCTTCCATCTTTGAAATATGTGACTGTCGGACGGAATGATTTAAAGGGGTTTATAAGGACTTACTTATTGCCACTATTTTATTTTCATTATTATTTTATTTAAAAAATAAATTGTTGAAAAAAGAATATAAAACATCAACTTGAATGAAACAAGTAAATGTATCATACTAAAAAACTACCAGTTTGATACTTCCAAATTCAAAAATCCTTCTCTAAATGGAGATATTTTAGTGAGAATTATTTTGATATTCAACCACCATGAGGTGCAAAAATACTCTCTAGAATATGAGGTATCAAAAATATAACCATTCCATTAACCTATCACTATATATTTGACATGTGGCATTTAATACTACTATTATTCGTATATTTAAAATTTTATAATATATTTGGTACTTGTGGTTGAAGTGATTTTTTTTAGAAGTATCAAAGTATTAAATCAAGTATCAAATGAATGTTTAATGCTCCATTTTGACATTTGTTCCGTTGGAGTTGCTCTAACCAAATATCTACATTGATCAAATTTCGTCTTTTGTGTAATAACTCGTAAAATGAGGAACATGGTAAATCGTACTGGACAAATCATTCGAACTCGAGCTACCTTACTCTAGAATTGATCACGGGTCGATCCAGCCAATTTGATTTGGCCCGATCACGATTCACATATTTTTTAACCGTCAATTGGCAATCAAAACCACCGGCCGGAACGTTGCACCGTGAAAAAATAAAACGTCAAACCGATGGGTCAAATTGTAATTTCAAATGAAATTATATTGATTTGAGAAAAAAATGTATCGTGGAACTATTAGCGGAGCCAGAATTTTAAGTTTGCAGAAGCCGAATGCATTAAAACTTTATGAAGGAGGCTGATAATGCTAATTGTACACAATTTTTTTTTTTTTTGGAAATTTTACATAAAAAATTAGGGATTCGAAAATAGTTGAGGGGTCCATGGTCCCCTCTGACCCTATGTTGACCGGTAGAACTGACGAGTCAAGAACCAATCCCACAATCCCAACAATTAATATATTTTCAATTTCAAACCCCTTATTATTTATATTTTACTCCATCAATTAGATCATATAGGCTTTGTTCTTTTAAATATTTATTGGTCTCAAAAGATATTGTTCTATTTAAAAAAAAATTTATTTTTTTAAAATTTGTAGTTGTGGAAGTTGAAATGTAGGACTAAAGGCAGAAGAAGCCAAAAGAATAGGGACTAGACTGCCAAACCTGAAAAGACCGTCAGGATTGGATGTGTTTTTATTGGGCAGATAATTACAAAATCAGCGCCAAACGCGGGAGTTAAGACAACTCTCATTCGCTCATGTTATTCGCATCCCACTTTCCAACCTTCTGCAAACAATACCTTGATAATATTTTTTATTTTATTTTATTAATAACAAATTATAAATAAATAAATATTTTTCTGAGAAAAATCAAAATTATTTAATGTTTAATTAAAAATTAAAGTGCTTTAGCTTTTTGGTGTGTCATATCAGTATTTTTAATAGGTTGCAAAGCAATAGGCAAATCATAACTGCAAATGTCCCATCAAAAAATGGCTTACTTTTTGACCGAATTCTACCTTAATTATACATACACGTGTATCTATCTATATTCTCATTTGAATTAAAGTTTATATTTTAAAATCAATGTTTTAAGATTAATAATTAAATTTAATTAAATTGTTAATTGTCATCTTCAATGAGTTGAAAGTCGCTATCAGAGGAAAAAAAGTAAAATTAAATGAGTCACCGTTCTCCATGTACAGTCATTTCTCTCCTCCAAGTGGTAGGTAGAATTTAATTTCCATGGCAGATATTATTACTACATTAAAATCGAATTTGGAATCCCATGTATTGGAAAAAAATTTAATATAATATAATTTTATTTCCTGAATAATGAAATATCCACTTTGGATAAACAATTTAGGGTAAATTACAATCATCTCCCCAAGATAAAGTATAATTACAAAAGAACCTTTCACTTTTCCATTACTATATCCACCCCTTCCAATTTATAGATTTCTTACATTAATACCCTTTTGTAGGGGTGGATGTAAGAAATTTATATATTGCGAGGGTCTGGATGTAATTTCTTGAAAAGAAGGGATTTTTTAATAATTACACTTTACCTCAGGGAGGTGTTGCAATTTACCCAACAACTTATGGCACTAATTGCTAATCTCAAATAACAGTATTAACACTTGGTGGGTTCAAAAACACAATTTTCCCATATTTTATATAGCCGATCCCCAGTTGAAATAAAATTTAAAAGTGATAAAATATACAACAAAAAACCAATTTACAGTGTGTAAAATCAAAATAAATTTCGATTTCCAACCATAACCGGCAAAAAATATA